TCATGTCAGGGAACCTGTTAATTAGAAAAAAAAAAAAATAGATGTTCCTCCTCATACTCGGCTGCCAGATTTCCAGAGGAGGACCAGCGCACGTCCCCGCATGTGCAGGGCTGGTGCAAGCGGCAGCCTCTGCTCCCCACGCCGCTCATTACACCCACGACTGTGCCTGCCTGTGGCCCGCAGCGCCCTGGCTTACCTGGCAGGCAGCAGGCACGGGCTGCTCCCACACGGCCGAGGTCCCTGGCAGGGAGAAAATTTCCCCTCCTCTTTCCGCCACCTCCCTGGCTGTGCCTGGGCAGACGACTCAGCCCGGCGAGGCTGGGCTGCACGGGGCTGCCCGCGCTCCCGTGGGATGCCTGTGGGTCTCCAGCATGGGGCTTTGCCCTTGTCTTCCCTGGGATGGAGCCTGTCGTTTTAGTGATCCATCTCACTGCTGGCTGCGGGTCTGGTTCAGACACGTGCTGATAGTTCAGACGTAGCTCTCTTGGTCTCGCTGGCACTCTGTAAGAGAAATAGGAGAAGCAGGAGATTAAATTTACCTGGGGGTCTGGGTGGAAGATTTACAGCTGGTATTTTTCAGCCATTCTCAAGTCCTGGCGTGCATGAGCAGGCCTGGGGCCAAGGCACGTAATGTGATTTCACCATCTCAACACCGGCGGGAAGAGAAGCTCCCTGCGCCCTGCTCTGTAGCGGCAGCGATTTCCTTCCAGCCACGCACCAGCAGTCCGGCCACAGCCAGGGAGCGTGGGACGCTGAGACTGGGAGCATCTTCACACCCTTCCCTTACTGCACGCCCTGGTCACCCACGGGGCATTTCTAAACACCAGTCCCACATTTACAAGCACAGGGCACCGTAACCTGGCGTCTTGGGTGCACCTCTGGGTGTGCGAGGAGTCCCAGCTACCGCGCGACGACCACCCGTACAGGTGGGCAATGCAAAAGCCAGCTTTCGAGCCAGCCGTTGCTTACCCTATTTTTGCAGGGTCTCCCTGCCGCTGCCCTCGTCGTGGCCTGTCATTGGGCTCGTTTCAACCAAGAGGAGTCAGAGTCCCTTTGTCATTGTGCTGGTGATGAGGACATGCTGATGGCATCACCACGGTAGTCTGCTGGGGTGTAATGTATCCTCATGGAGCACAGCAATGCATGAGAATGCCTGCCAGCCTCCCTCCGGGCTGCCTTTCAACAGGCCTCGTCTCTCCATCAGCGGTTTTAGAGGGAGATGCTGTCGAGGACTTATTAGTGCTGCTGGCAGTGTGCTTACCTCGCTAGTCGGGCCCTTTAAAAGCACGATGCCAGCAGGGTGAGAGCATGCTGTGGGCTTGGGTGACTTCAGCCCCGCATCCTTTCCCCCCTTAATCAGGAAGGTTAAAAGAGATTTTTAGTTTAAAACCTACCTAAACTAAAGGAAAAAGAAAAATAAGCAGAATGAAATAACCTGCAAATGTAACTAAGTTTCTCACAGCAGCTGCTGAGTTCTTTGACATTAGAAAGCACATTTGCCTCTCACAGAATAAAAAAGTGCCATTCTGAGCTTTCAATCCTTTTCCTCTAGCTTTTTTTGACAGCTTTTTTCCCCATCCCTTCTTTAAGCTTAGCTCATTTTTTTCCTTTATAAAATCTCTTACAGGTTACAGACCTTTCAAAAATGACAGAAGACCTACAAATTTTGACAAAAAAGTGTTGGTATGGGCAGGACGCTTTAAAAAGGAGAAGGACATTCCCAAGCACGTATCGTAAGTAGACCTGTCTGAACGATCCTTCTGGATGTGAACATACAGATTGAGACCCCCGTCTGCATTACCCAGAATTGTGCTCACACGGTGAGGGTTAGTGCTCCTCCATGCTGACAGGGCCTGCTGCTACCTGTGTCCAAAAATAATCTGAATTTTTGGGAACATGAACTTTTCTCATGCCCTGTGAAGTAAACTGGATTCACTTGTGTTAGATATTATAAGTTTCAGACTAAGTTGAAATTGTCTTTTGCAAGACAAGTGGCTTTGTAACTTGGAAGTCACCATGGTAAAATATGATCCACTTTGGATTTTTGCATGCTTTGCTAGTTTTTATCGATTAGCAATTAATAATGTTGCGCACATTTTAAAAAGAAGTCTGGGCTATACACAGCTTTGGTGACAGACATCTGCAACGAGTTCCTCAGGTCTGAGCTATGGTTTCATCTCCTTGTCGAGGCATTTTGTTAAAGGATTGTCACTCAGTTTTGGAGACCTAATGCTTCCTGACTTGTGACCTCCCGGGGGCTCCTCCAGCCGGCCCTCGCCTTGCAGGCGTAAGTAGACCCGTGGCTGGGTACGATTTCCTGAATGACTCCTTGCCACGCTGCAGCCCCTTGCGAGCACGGCTTGTCGGATAAATGGCGTGAGTCGCTGGCGGAAGGTGGAGGAGATTCCCCAGCGCCGGCTGTGGCTGTTCAGCTGCTTGGGAAGGCAGCTCCGGACAGACGGCACAGTTGCCCGCTCCAGCTCGGGCGCAGCCTCCCGCCGCAGAAATGCTTGCGGGGCTAATGCCAGCTGGCTGGCACAGGGCTACGCCGCGGCGGGGCAGGGCTGGGATGTGCAGCTGGGATGGGGATGTGGCCGCAGACCCAGTCACCACGTGCTGTGCCTCGTTGCTGTGTGAAAACTCTGTGTTGCTCTTAGCCAAAATGTGGTTTTGTTCGGCTGAGGGTGGCATTGCCTGGCCCTGGTGGCACAGCCCCGGTGTCTCCTGGTGCTGTGCAGCACCCCATGCCCTGCCCTGCCCCGCAACATCCGAAGCCGGGCCCCTTGTAATTCCATTATCACGGTGAAAAGACCTTCCTCTCCTTGTCATTTTTCAGGTGTTTACTCTCATATGCAATAAAAGGCGGCAGGAGAGAAGGATTTGTTTGTCCTGCTGTTACTGATGGGAGTAGCAATACCCCCACCTGGTGGGACGGTGGCTAAATCTTTCCCTCATAGGCTTTTTTTTTGAGTGTTCCTCTAAGCACCTGCAGAAAGAGAAGGCTGAAACACACTGTACATTAACAGGCAGTTGCTGGAAGAACTGAGGGTCACTCCCCAGCTCCCCATGATCTCGTTTCACACATGCTGCTGCAGGATGGAAACTCTGCTCTGTCCTCCGCAGGTCCGAGGTCCTCGACGCAGCAAGGAACAGCGTCAGGATAAAGGTTTGCTACATCATGATCACACTGACCTTGCTGGGCTGTTTGGCCATGGTAATCACAGGCAAAGAAGTGAGTATTGTTTCTGGGTGAACTGATCCACTTAATGTATGGTCTACGCATGCTCTCTTTGCAAATAAGCGCCTGGGTGACAGATAGGCTTGAGAATAAGTCCATGTAAGTGATCTTTGCACAGGATCTCTGTCACCCCATTCTCCGGGGGAAAGCCTGGCACGGGGAAGCGCAGCTTGCTGGTTAGTGTGCTCCGTCTGACCCCGTTTGCCATAAACCGGTGCACTGCCATGCTCTGTGTCACGGCATCTCAGCACGAGGCCAGTCCACAGGCTGTGGAGCAGCTCAGACCGTGTCAGTGGTGCCTGGTCCCACCCTGCATCCCATGAGGGCACCCATGAGGCTCCCACAGTCCTGCTTGCCGAGCCGGTGTGCCACCGTGGCCACCAAGAGCTGTGACACTCACTGCTTCCCATCCCACTGGTGGGGAAGGAAGGTCTCCAGCCTGACCTGCATGTCCCAGCACACCTGTGAACAATTTACAGTGTAATTTCCCTGCTAATCAGAGCTGCAAATGCTGAAAATTTGGTAAAACAAGGAAACACATTAAATTCTGTCACGGCAAAATACCAAAAAGGCCAGTGGGGTGCCAAAGCAAGTAGTGCAAATGTGGGGAAATTTAGTGGTGGGAAATGTGTGCATGCGATGATTTTCACCATTTCTTTTCAAGGCTGCTAAAAGGGATCACACACTGCTGAGGATGAACGTAGAAAAGAAGTCCAAGTGGAGGGCTGAAGTGGAGAAAGATCAGGAGGCAGCTGTTGGGAAGCCACAATGATTTGGAACAGATTTATTTTAACAGCAGGAGATAAGTGATTTGCACACATGGCATATGTACCTGTCTTCATTTAACTCTTTGGAGCTTTTCCACTGAAACTCTCTCAGGGCAAAGACTTCACTGCTCAAAAACTGTCTATATGAACTGGGAAACTCCTATGGAAACTCAAACAAACAGCTGCTTTCTATGGCCTCTGGCACTGGGTTCTGCTGAAATACAGGAATCTGTCCCGAGTGGAAAGTGTGGGAAGGATGAATGCAGGACTCTTCAGCACAGGATCAGCTTTTCGTGGTGCAATGCCTGTAGTGCAAACAGCCTCGGCCGAATGGCCCAGGGCAGGGGGAAAAGGAGTCTGAAATTCGTTGTGCAAGCACAAAGAGGTCAGTTATCTCTACCTCTGAGCCTGCTGCCATCACTGTCTCCTCTTCCTCCACAGCCCCTCATGGGATCCTGTATCTGGGGAGTGGGGGGACGTGAGCATGAAGAGAGGCTGGGGGGATGGAGGAGTGTGAGCGCACCCCGATGACTGATTTGGTCTGAAAGGAGCTTTGTGCCAGAGAAGATGGTGGTGATGTGGAGTGGTAGCGTGGGTATGTGGAGTGGTTTGGTTGTTGCAGGGCAGCCTGGGGAACCCGTGCCTGGTGCAAGGACCCTGGCCTGGAGACACCTTTTGTCCTGTTGCACCTCACAGGTTTTGCTTTTTCATCTTTTGCTTCCAGTCATTGTCATGGAAGTTCTCTAGCACTTGCTTAGTTGTGATTTTAGTCAGGAGTAATTGTTTATACATGGTTTGCTAAAATTGGATTCTTTTTAATCATCATTGTTCATTAATTCATAATAAAACAGCTGTCCAATTACATCTAAAACAAACACATCTCTTCACAGCTTCATTTACAGTGTCACCAAATTCTCTGGGATGATGCTTAACAGATGGAAGAGATCCTAATGAAATATTGAAAATTACATTTTCATGAAGTTATTAAACTTGAAGACAGGCCCCAGTTCATGCTTGTGGGTGCTGATGGTCTGAGCCCCCATTCGGCACGGGTATCATTCGCAAGACCCGTAAGACAGGCTGGCGGAGCTGGGTGTGCTGCATGGGGTGACACGGAGTGACAAAACCCAGCCGTCTTACCCTGGCCGCCATGGGAGAGGGCAAATGCTGGAACCACGCGCAGCCTTTGTGCAGTGTCCTGAGCACCACACCAAGGCTTGGCCTTTGCCAGGTTTATTATTTGGAGTAACTGCACTTGCTCCATGGGAGTCTGGGAGCTCCTGCTCAGGTCTCTGAGGTTTATTGTGTAAAAAATCACGTCTGCTTATTGCTGGTGTGTCACTACAGGAACAAGGTGCTGGCAAGGACGGGCTGGGGCGTTGGCAGGCGGTCAGCAGTCGTCGGGTTCTGGGACTCCACCTCCTGTGCCTGTGGTCACTGGGCAGCTTTTTCTCTCTGATGCTTCTTAGGAGCACTTTTCTCCACGTTGCACACCTGATTAGGATGAGGAGCTGTGTGAGGGGAATGTTACACTTGTCACAGCCCGGGGTTTGCAGTCCTTGTTTCCAACTCACAGCCCCGTGCGGCACAATTCACCAAAAGTGATGGCTGCTCCCTCCTCACAAAGCACGTCTCAGGGAAGTGAAAATAATGGTCTAGGACAAGCACAGAGTGAACAAGTCTCTGCTGAGAAGACACTTTTGCCTGCACCGGTAATATGGGCTCTTTCATTTCACATGACCTGGTTTTCTTGGTTAGTGCAATAAACCTCAAGTATTACCTCAAAGTTAGTGTTCATTTGGGGATAAAATAAAACTGCTCTGGTCAGCCTCTTAGGTTATTTTTTCCTTTAATTCTTAAATGGCTTTCATGTGTCCTTTTTAAGAAGGTACATGTAATGCTTAAAGGAACCCATTTTAATGCTTGTAAACAAATCCATGTCCATGTTCTGAGCTTCCCTGACTTAAGCAGGAAAGGCGATGACCACAACCATATCTAAAGAATAAGCAAATTAATTGTGACTTTTTCCAATCTCTGCTCTGCACTTCCCTCTGCCTGGGGAAAAAAAAATCTGCTTCAGGTGTGAGCTATTATCAAATCCTTTTAAACTGCCTGGTTCTGTTAACTAGTGCATAAAGCTGCTGCATTACACATTGTCATTAAGAAAAAGGAGAAATCAATTCCTCCTCCCTGAGCCACTGATGATGGGCCACTTCTGAGCGATCAGATGACCCAGGTGCTTTTGGGCTCTCACAAAAAGCTATGACTATTATGTAGGGAATAATCCTTTACTAGTCCTAGCTATGTGATTATTCATTTTAATATCATAATATTCCTCCCAAAATCAATCGGACTAATCGCTGGCTTGCGCTTGGTCGGTGGCGGGCGGCTGCTGGCGCTGGTGTGGCGGACGTCCCCCGTAGTAACTGGAGATGCCAGCAGAGGACATTGCACTGCTGATGCCTCTCCAACACTGGGACTTACTACTGCTTGTTAAAATCGGTTTCTATCTGTGTTTGCAAAGTCCTTTGATTCTTCTCTTGAAAAGAATCTTCTCAGATTAGAATCTTCTCTTCTAATTAACAGAGCTTCCTGAAGGTATAATTGGCAAATCCTCACCACCTTAGGGTTGGGGTTGTTTTTTTTTTTAATTTCCCCTCCCACCTATATTACTTCAGTGTCACACCTGATCCCCCAGTCATTTAAAAAAGGGATGGGAGGTGTAATTAGGTGGGAGCTATTTTTTAATAACGTGCCCTGCGTTTCCCCAGCCTGGCCCTGAGGACAATGCGAGGGGCTGGCTCTTTTCCGAGGCAGGGGTTGGAGCTGAGGGTGCGTTGGTTTGCTGCGGTTCTTGGGGAGACCAAAAGTGAGTCCTTTCAACTCTTACCTCCTCGTTTACTGCTCTGTAGTGGAGGAAAGAATGCTTCCTCCCTTGCAGGATTTTTGCCATTTTAATGAACTCCTACAAGGAAATGGTTGACAATGTGCTGGTGGCTGGTGCCATAGAGACTTACATTATATTAACAATTATTGGGGAAGATGTTCCCTAGTAACTGGAGTTGATCTAATTCTGCTTCCATTAAAATCAGTGCTGCCGTTCCTCCTGGCTGTGAATTAAGGTTGTTGCCCACCATTTTCTGAAGTCACAGTGATTTCCAGAGATTCAGCTTCCCTAGGGAGTCAGGCTGCTGTGGGGCAGAGCTGGGTGCACTGAGCTTTCTTCTGCCAATGTGGTGAGAACAAGCTCCTGCAGGAGGCTCTGCGTCATGAGCATTCCAGTGCCTTGGAGAAAAGGTGTGAGATGGGGAAGTCTGAGCTCAGGAGAACTTAGTCCCTGCCTTACTGATTTTCTCCATCTTTTTCACCTGCTCAGGGGGTTTCTAGTAACACTTGATTTCTTTCCACCCATCTGATATGTGCAGCTCTTCTCCTGGGATGCAGCAAGGCTGATGTGATCCTGCACTTGCAAAGGACTTTTTCCTGGATGCAGATGAAATCTTGCTGTTCAGAAAGATTTCATTTTAAAGACTTCTCTACTCTTTCAGCATTTAGTCTCCCACCAAGCTGGGAAACTGCTGCTTATTTTAAGGCTGAATGCACCTAGCTTCATCTTCCAGGCATTGGACCTTGTCTTCAATATGGAATATAAAACATCCCATCTCAACTCTTTCCGGTGTGTAACTAGTCACCCCTCAGCTATTGTTTGTGCTTGGATTCCTGCTACGTTCAAAACACCTTTAGTTTCTAACCATTGCTTGGTGGGTATCACTGGCTTACTGGCCAGTTAGGTGATTGACACTCTAGTGAATTTATTCCTGTATCAAGTGATTCACTACATTAGTAGCCTCTTCATAAACAATCAAAATAGATTTGTTGGTTTTAACATAGAATCAATAATCTAGTACTTTTGCAGAAAGAAAGGATGTAAAAGCTTTCCAGACTTTACTGACTACCCTGGAAAATTAAAAAGCACAGTGGTTATGCATCAGAAACTTGTTCTCCTCAGTCTGTGCCCGAGACACCAGTGCCTGCAGGAGCAGCGTGGCCAGCCAGTGGCTGCAAATCTGCTTTTGTTCCTGGGACTGCCGAGGGTCAGTTCAAAGGATCTTCAAGGTTGAAAGTCTCATCTGGGTGAGATGCAATGATGGTTTGATCTGTAAAGAAACCTGCTCCCTCTTACCACAAAGATCTTTCCAGCCTGAAGCAGGCTCATGCTTTCTCCTTTGCTCAGCACCGTTGCAGCTGGCTGCTGCTGGCCCACAGGTATCTGGGGTCCTCGTGTCCATCATGATTTCAGAGGTGGCTTAAACACCACTCTCCTCTTTGGATTTGGCACAAAGACATTCTAGCCTAGCAGGAAAGCAGGGCCAATGTTCAGTAATTTGAATTAATTAATGGATCATTCATTAATGCATTGAGGTAGCATTAAAGCCATTTTCCATGGTTAAGTAGTTTGATTAACATTAATGTTGTATGACTTATTGCAAACCTCTGTGACAGTCATATGATGAGTAGATAGATCCTGAAGGCTCTGAAAGGACCTGACCATTTAATTCCTTTACTCTGTGAAGGATCCCACCACAAACCTCAACACTACACCTTGTCTGTGCGTGAGACAGCTTTCTACATGAAAATCTAAAGCTGGGACCTGACTCTTCCTCTGCAGCACTGTGTTCCTCAGTGAAGGGACCCAAACCTTGTGGGTAGAGACTGTTGTTTGCTGGGTGCGCGAGGGCTTGCCATGGGGGGGGAGGTCAGTCTGGGACAAGTTTTCATAGGAAAAAATTGGGCTCTCTCATGGCTTATGTATACTCTGCAGCATGAACAGATTTATCAGAAACTGCCTGTGAGACTAGACCAGAAAATGGAGGGATTTGCATGCTGGCCTGTAATATACTTCTCCCAGACGAGGTATGGTCCTGAGACTTTTTCTAAATGAAATGGTAACCGAAACAGCCCAATGAATTAGTCATATGCTAATTACAATCACTTCTAATGGTTC